ATTCCTTGTGTGTTTAAGCACACCTGGCCAAATAAAGTATCCTATTCTTTTTGATAGAATAACAGACTTGGAAGGGACCTTGGAGATCTTCTAGTCCAACCCCTGCTTAGGCAGGAAACCCTACACCACTTCAGACAAATGAGCATCCAACATCTTCTTAAAAACGTCCATTCTATTTTATGGTACTTGTGTTTGCCTCCCTGAAGACATTCAAGGATGGTGGGAGTTTTAGTCCATAGCATATAAAAGATGCTACTTTGGAGAATGCTGCAAAAACCTTGTTTTATAAGATGCAAATCATCCAAAGTGCTCTCTCTCTCTTTTTCAAAGATGTAATCAAAATGTTTGATACACCTGTCAGTTTTGTCTTTGCTTACATGAAGGTAGAATGGCACTGTTATTAAGGGACGGGATGGCAGCTTGCTAATTTTGCATTAAGAACAAGCTGAAATCATTTTTTCTGATCAAAGTTACTTTACCTCTAGCTATCTTCCCTACCCACCCACCCACCCACTCATCCATCCCTGCTAAAGAATCTGAAAGACTGCCTTGGCTCTGTGCCATTTTGCTTTCCACATTATAATTACTTCAACAAGAGAGTGCCTTCCTCTTCTTTCAGTGTTGGAGTTAGAAGCTGCCCTTGAGCACTCATTGCAAAGCCTCAGGCAGAAACTAAGATAATATAACAGTATTTTAAAAGGGGGGTTGCAGGTGGGGGGAATAAATCACCATGGAGAAGATCATACTTAACTTAGGTGAAGATCCAAGTTTTGCTCTTACCATTCAGGCTAAAAAATTTCAAGATTGCATAGCTAGTAAAGATCTAATTTCTTGGTGTTGACCTTGATGAGTTCATGTGCTGCTTAAATATAAAACTATTTTCTATTGCATGGCCACCAACTTTTGGGACACCAGAGACCAGTTCCCTGGAGAGAGGTTCTTCTGCAGACGCGGGGAGGTGTGATTTTGCATGCTGCTTGCATCACAGAGATGGGGCTTCCCTGGTTTCTGGCATGCCATGGCCCAGTGCCATGGTTCTATTGCATTTATAGTTTCTAATACTGCATATTAGATACAATAAAAACAAATGGGTCCTATTGTCCCTATTTATTTTTATTCATTTCTTTTTTTCATGTCCATGTTTATATTTATACCTGCTATTTTGTACATGTTTGACAAACTTATATATGTTGCATTTTAGCACAAATGCAACACAAAAGTAACAAAGGCAACATTAAAAAATGGCTTTCTGCCTGGATGGCTCCTAGGGTGATCCAAAAGACAGAAAAGGAAAGCAGTATGCACCCTCCCATATTTGCCTATGTACTGTATACAGTACTGTATACTATACTGTACTGCATACAGTATGCCGTATGCTCCCTCCCATATTTGGGCATACCAGGGGTTGTGACATAATATATATCTATATCTATCTCTATCTCTATCTCTATCTCTATCTCTCTCTATCTCTATCTCTATCTATCTCTATCTCTATCTCTATCTCTATCTCTATCTCTATCTATCTATCTATCTCTATCTCTCTCTATCTCTTTATACACACACACACACTTGTCACATATGCCACTGAGTACACAATTTTATGTAAGCCTCTAATTGTAGGAGATGAGCAAGCTGAGCCCGAGGGAGGGGTCTAATGCATCGTACGTCATGAGTTCTTGCACACCCACAAGAGATCTATGTCCAGCCCACCTTTAATGTCTTTATTCCCACTCATTCCTTTTGACCGCTACTAGGTCAGACTTTTATAGAGAATTTCAGATTGCACAAAACCTTTAAGCTCATTTCAACTGCTTGAATCTCCTGAGGCACTTGACAAGAATATGCTTTGAAATTAGTCCTCATGCATAAATCATGCTTTGTGACCAATTGCTGGATTAATGCAATATACCTAACTTGGTTACTGAATTAACACATTTTTCGGCCTTTACAAACATTACATCATGAATTAGCTAAAGACTTTGGGCTCACACACCATACTAAGCTACAAAATAAAATAAAAAGTCGACAAGATTAAAACTTAGCCCACATGCAGACTTTGACCAGTTTAAGCATATCATTAAACCATGAATGGTCATGGTGAACCATCCCTGTTGTGATTCTAATATTTTACAACAGTATTTTTCTGTTCTAGTCTTCTTTTAATAGAATTGTTAAAGAGATTGCCTGCAGCTTTTTGCATAAATCTGGGTAAGAAACCTGGGACAGATACATAACAAAATAAATAAGTTGTGGGATTTGAAAAAAATAAAATAAAAACTTGCTGTGATGCAAAATGTAACATCCAGTTGATGACTCCAAGATAGCCGGGGATCAGCTCTCCAAACTATCTTCATTGATTTCCCATCTGTTTCTATTAACAATGATAATTTTACTCTTTAAATCCCTAATTCAGCCACCTGAGCTTTTCCAGACGTGGCTGAATAGAACTCCCTAAATTCCACTGTCACTTAGCATGTTCTTGAAATATTACCTCTTGGCCTGTTTAGTACAGGAAAGCAATCCAGCATTTTAAGACCTAGATGAAATTAAATCACCATTTTTCTGTTTATTTTGGCAAGCTACCAGCAACCAATTTCCATGAGTTTCATAGAAAGAAACTGATGAAGAAGTCCGGTTTGTACAGCTTAGAATGGAAAGAGGAAAATGGGTTTGAGTAACTGCAGATGTTCCTTAGAGTCTTTTAAAAAGGGGGATTGCAATTAGGAATCATTATTAATTTCCATTAGCAGCTCTCTAAAGTATCCTATATGCTGATTTAAACTTGAAGCAAAGAGGCTTTGGGAATGTCATTGTACAATGCTGAATTTTACTATTAATGTTGAAACTGAATAATCAATTAACCTGCATGGGGGGGAGAGTCCCTTTTAAAAGCTGCTTTACAGAAGGCCTCTTAACTTTGTATTTAGTTTAATTATTCTAAGTGTTAACTACCCTTCTTGAAGAAACCATTTTAAGTAGATATCTCAGTTTCTGAATCCTGAAGATGCTTTCCACCTTTAACAACTTCAGGCCATCTGATCTATCTAAAACCTGGTCATTTTGTTTTCCCCCTCTCCCTTTTTATTTGCTTTAAACTAATAAAAAGTCTAATAATTCAGCTACTGATTTCAATATCTGTCCTGTGTATTTGAGATACGAAGAGCCATTAAAGCTGAGTGTTGAGCAAAGTCATTACCACGATAGATCTCTTCTGCTGTGCTCTGCAAGTATATTGCTCTCCTTGTAATATAATACTGTTTGATAAATGTTATTCCAAATCCATGACCTAGGACACATCTAGTCTGATTGATCCAAAAGGCCATTTTAACATCTTTTCCTCCAGTCTATGAGGCATTTCTGAAATATTGGCTTCCTCTGAATAGCTTCAGTAACAAAATGCTGGTTGTTACCAAACCTTTATTGCAGGACAAGTTAAGATGTGGGGATTAGTGGCCATGCCTCTCCTCACACCAGTGTCTCAACATCAAGCAATCTTAGCCAGGTTGATTGATAGTGCCACGCTGCTTCAGGTTCTCTCTTCCACCAGCAACCCAATGGATCACCCACAAAGCCTGATCTTCCATCACTGTCATCCCCATTTCACAGATGAGATGTTGCAGATGATTCATGCAATTGGGCAGGATCTCAGAAGCACAGGCTGCCTGTGATGGGTAGGAAGAAAATAAGCAGGTCTTGTAGCATGTACGTGATCTAAAATTACCTCCAGCCAATTCAGCTTCTTTCGAACTCATATTCATGTTTCCCTTCCAGGTCTCTTGGCTGTTCTGCTGATAGATGGGTTGATTCATTGCACAGGGAGAGCAGCCCACTGGGTGGACTTTAAATGGAAATAATCCTCTGAAATAAAGGTGGTCTCTACCACACAATATCATGTTGGTTTGCTATAAATGATTCCCATATATCCAACTAGCTCTTTTTAGTATTGTTGCCTAAGACTTCTATAGGATGCTTTGATTATAAGAGCCGAGGTGGCATGGTGGTTAGAGTGCAGTACTGCAGGCTACTTCAGCTGACTCCTAGCTGCAGCAAATCTCACCAGCTCAAGGTGAGCCTTCTATCCTTCCAAGGTGGATAAAACAAGGACTCAGATTCTGGGGGGAAAGATGTTGATTCTGTAAACCACTTAGAGGGGGCTGTAAAAGCACTATGAAGCAATATATAAGTCTAACTGCTATTGTTATTGCTATCTGAAGTAGAATGATGCTTGCTTTGTAATATCAGTACTTGTACAATGAGCACGATTCAGGCATGAGAGGCTCTATAGCCAAAGTTTGCAATGAGGATGGTTTCTACTTCATTTGGATTAAGTTTAATTATGTGCAACAAAGGCATAATGATTATGTGCACCTTGTTCCCTGATCCCAGGTAATCTCATTAAATAAGGTTAATGTGCGTTTTGCTTCTTTGCAAGGGCCACCATATGAAAAATTGATCCTGCCTCTAAACAAATAAAAAGAATAAAACAGACTAAAATTCAGACCAAATTAAGTCTTTCAGAATTCTATGGATTTCAGTATTTCAACCTCTCCTGGCAAAATAAACAGGGACTTAAAACATTTAGCTGGACTTTTTTTTACATTATGTTCTGAAATAGTTTTTCAATTCCAATAGAAGAGAATATCTGTAGCTCCATGGAGTCCTTGGTGGTCTCTGAGCTTGGTTATTTTCTGGCAGATGTTTCATTGCCCAACTAAATAACATCATCACTGTACACTCCATAACTACATAAGTCACAGTGCACACTGATGATGTTACATGGTCAGGTAATGAAATGTTTGCAACCAAACAACCAAACACAGAGAGCACCAAGGACTCCAGATATGCTTTCTTGCCCAGAGATTACCTCAGTTACGATGATTCATAATTAAAAACTTTGGGGGGAAAGATATTCACTTTCTTTGATTTCTTACCCCTTGATCCTCTGAAGTTGCTTTTTTATAAATCCATTAAAATTCTTTTTTGCTTTGTTTGCATTTCAGGTTCTTTCTTTCCTGACAGCAAGCCCTCGGAAACCATTTTTAAAATTGCCTTTTGGCTTGGGTATCTAAACAGCTGCATCAACCCCATCATTTACCCTTGTTCGAGTCAAGAGTTTAAAAAAGCATTCCAAAATGTCCTAAGAGCCCGGTGTCTCCACAGGAGGTATTCCTCCAACAAATATTCCCTGAACTTCACCCACAATCACCCAAGCAGCCATGTTCCTGAAGCTGACAAAGATATTGTCCGGATACCTGTCGGCACTGGAGAACACTTCTATAAGATTTCCAAATCGGATGGCGTGTGTGAATGGAAACTTTTTTCAGCCATGCAAAGCATGTCAACCAAGAGCAATGCTCTGAAAGAGAGCCCCAGCTGCTCTACGGCCAAAGTGAAGAGCAAAGGCCTCCTGAGAGAGTGCTGCTGTGCAAACACCTCAGGAGAAAACCCAAAGGACCAGCAAATACCCACCATTAAAATACATACTGTCTCCATCAGTGAAAATGGAGAAGATGTTTAAAGACCTTCCATTATTTTGATGGGAGTTCTGAAGTTTTACAGTGTGTTTTCATAGTTTTCTGCACTGGCGAGTCGATCACAAAAGGTTTCAATGGGTCACAACAGGAAGGCAAAAAAAGCCCAGATCAGGTCAAACTCTGTAGAGATGGAAACCATGGGAAGACTTCCATCCATGCTGTTCCATTGGATTCTGTGAGGAGTAGAACGGGGGTCCCTGTGGGGCTGGACGCCTTCAAATTATTCAGATTTGATTTCTTGTTCTTTTAAAGGTTTTCATTGTATCCTGTTGTTTTAATTCAAGTTATCTAGCCTTTCTTTTTGTAATGATCAGTGGCGTAAAAACATCCTTGAAATATATCCTACAACAGAGAACCATTAATATATGTTCCAGCTTTCATTGCAAATGCTTTTCTTGAGTGGTCAGCTCTTTTTTTTTATTACTCTGCATTGTGAAGATAAATTTGACAAGGCTGCAGTGCAAGCTAATAGACAAATTTGAGAGAGAGGGATATGACAGGAAGGTTCTTAACTTAACCCTCACCTTTTTATTAATGGAATGATTGTGGTTCTGTGACATTGTGAGTATCGTAAAGGCTCAATTGACGCAATGGGAGCTTATATCTAAGCCGTGACTCCAGTTTTTACTTTTTAAAGTTTGAATATAGCTGTCTTTCCCCAATAGGCTTAGCTATGCTGCTGAGTTGTATTGAGTTAATGCCGATTTAATTTATGCCTTCCCAACAAGAATGCTGAGAACTATAATGCATTTTGAGTGTTCAAAATTGTTTTTTTCTACCTTAGACCTTAGGGTAACTTTGCCAAAAGAGGATTAGTATTAAATTTGTTAATATTTGTAGTATAGCTGGGGCACAGAGCTTCCTTTCGATTGACTTTAGCTACCATAAATTAAATTGCTTTGCTTGAGATTACCAAACCATAAATCAATCCTCTACAAATTGGATGAAATCATTCATCTGTCAGTTATTTATTTTCTATGAGATATTTTCCTCATGAGTATACTATTAAAAAAAGGAATGCAGTACTTTCTTGTTAATCCAGAATATTTGAATTTGGTTTATAGTTCGAAACCAACCAGGAAATCATGGCAATGCAAAATTTTGAATGTTTTCAAATTTATGAATGGACCCCAGTACAATAAAAACCTCATTGTCTTCTATTAGTTTCAGCACTGGAAAATTATCCTCGTTCATAAAGAGTTGCATAGAATATTCCTCAACACTCAGATTAATGAGAAATCCTCAACTCTTGGCAGGCTCATGTATTTATATTTCACACATTGCCTCCTGGAAAATCAAGTGATGACTGAAAAGGTAATGGGACCATTAGAAATTAAAACAGAGTGGATTGGATCTAGGCAAATTTAGTAACAGACTACAGTCAGTACTACGTCTTGGCTTCAACTTAAGGTGTTGCTTAAACCCAGCCATAGTTTAGGGAAATGTATGAGCCAAGGGGCAATTTATTTTAATAATTACTTACTTGCAGTGGTGGGTTCCGGATCCTGTTGCAACCAGTATGTTGCAACAGAGCCTGGCATCCACCACATGTACGCTCGCAATGCACGTGCGTCCTTACCTCTTGCGACGCCTCTGCGAGCCTCCGCAACGCTCCAGCTGCTTGGCGAAGCGCCAAAGAGCTCAAATGCAGGTAAGGAGGACGGGCGGGCAGGTGGGCCCTCTGGAGCACCATATCAGAACAGTACCTGGTGCTCCCGGCAGGCACCGGTACACCCATACTGGGGCGTACCTCCTGCAACCCACCACTAACTTGGGAGCCACAGGTTTTGATGGGAAGAAACCAAAAATAACATGGCAATACCAGCAGTCTAAAACAATAATATATAGATCAGAATAACAGAGTTGGAAAGGACCTTGGAGGTCTTCTAGTCCAACCCCCTACTCAAGCAGGAGACCCAGTACCATTCCAGATATGTGGCTGTCCAGTCTCTTAAAAGATGGAGCATCCACAACTTCTAAAGGCAAGCATTTCTACTAGTTACAGTAATTGTTCCCTTTGTTAGGATATTTATCCTTAGTTCTAGATTGGTTCTCTCCTTGATTAGGATATTTCTGGATTCTTAGAACGTTAGGACTAAGTGACACAGGGTTGGGAAATGCAATCTAAATTAATTTGAATCCAGCCAAACTATTTTTAATAAAATCACTCACACTGCCAGGACTAGTCAAAAAAAATAAAACATGGAAGGATTGTCCCATGTGTGTTATCTATGTACATGCAAGCCTGAGGCTATTGTGCCCTATTATTTGGGATTGCGAAATCTTTTTTTTTCCTGGTGACATCAATTTATTATCAATTAATGTTAATCCAAGATCCAAGGAAGTCAAAGAATGTTCTCATTTCTCAGCAATTTTCTATTGCTATAGTGTCAAAGGATTACATGGAATGAATTACCCAAAATAATCACAAGTGTAATAGGAATTAGCCTGCTGTCCTTTCTGCTATAGCCTCATCCTCCAGTTCTACTCTAGGTTATAAGCCAACTCTCAAGAGGAGATGAAATGGTACAATTTTTAAAAAGGAGACATCTTGTATCAAATAGAAAGGAAGTTCATGTTCTTAATTGTTTCTCAGGAAATAGCTATTGTAAAGATTTCCCAGGACCAAACTGGAATTGACTGAGTAGTAAGGTTCACATGGGAAGTTTGCCCATGTTACATTCCTCTTTTATTTTATTTTATTTTTTTCATTTAATTTTCCTGCACAATTCTTCTGATGCAAACCAAGCACAAAATACTTAGAAAGGGGATTTAAAAACTGCTTAAAACTTAGAATTTCCATTTTATTTTTATTTTTTTCCACTCAGGTCATTACAGAATCACCTGGTGCTACTATTTTCATGCTGGGAAGATTTAGTATAGAATCTTCTTAATCAACTTTCTTGCTTGCCCGCAGTGCTAATTTGCTAGCAGGTGGGGTGAGAATGCTTCTAGACTTTATAAGATGGAAGAGCAAAATGTCGACTGTAGATATGGCTGCAGCCTAGGCACCTGACCTCTGTTTGCAAACATTTAAAGGAGTCACTGTGGATTTTGCTCCGCTAATCACTGCTGACTATAGGGGTTGGTGCACATTTTCATTTTAAGGACATTGAGCCAGTGCTGTCGAAAGACATTTCTGTGATTATGTGGCCAGCATGATGTCATGGAGCATTGTGGTACCTGTTTATGTACTTGCATGCTTTGGAATTGCTATGTTGGCAGGAGCTGAGGTGGAGGATAGGAACTCACCTCGTCATGTAGCACCCGGGTCTCAAACCTAGGCTGCCAGCTGTCCAGCAGACAAGCCCAGCATCTTAACAGAGAATCTAAAATGCTGATTTCTGTCCAGAATCTAAATTGGGAACCAGAGTCTACCATTCTTGTTTTTAAAATGTCCTGTGACTGTGTATGTAACAGTGCATTGGAAATAGAAATGGATCTCTACTCAAAATGCTGCAATACGGGCTAAACAATTGTATTGTCTTTTTCCAGGCTGGCATTTTCATGATGAAAACTACTATATTGTGGGCACAGTAAAAAAAACACTTGTGAGAAACTTCAGTGCGTGGCTAAGAACTATTTATTTTGGTGGAGTCATGATGTAATGATAAAGTACATTTTTTTGTGGAGAAATTCCTTGTTTTAAGCCTCATATGTAAGATTGGAGAAAAAACTAGGACTGGTGGAGCTAATGCTATGTTAGATGGGCCAGTGATTTGGTGCAGTACATACTTATTTCATGCACCATCATTTGAAGATGGAATATATATTACTGTACTTAATAGATACCTTGTAATGATTCTTTACCATTAGTCATTCTGATAGGATTCAATGGGATCTGAAGATCAAATAACCAGACAATGAGAAGATATATTTTGTTACCACATCGACGTGGGGAAAAGTCTAGATAATGATGGTCTAATGTGTTTTTTTCAATATCTCTGTATAGCTGTCTAGTGGTCATCCAGATTTTTGCAATATAGATATTGTAGACCTAACATATGCGATTCCCTTGGCTCATATCAGATTAAATCAGGGGTGAAAATCCTGTATCTCCAAATCAGGGGTGGGTTTCTCGCCCCGTTCCAACCAGTTCGGTTGGAACGGGGCCGGCGGCGTCCTCGTGCATGCGCGCGGTGCACGCATGCATACTAGCGTCTGCGCGATGCTCCAGCTGCTCCTGTATGCGTCCTGCGCATGCGTAGAAGCGCAGAACTCGTCAAAACCGGGTAAGGACCGCGGGTGGGCGGGCGCGCCCTTCGCCATTCCCGGAAGTTACTTACTTCCGGGTTCGCCGACCAACCGGTTCGCAGGGACCGCCGCGAACCGGTTGAAACCCACCCCTGCTCCAAATGTTACTAGATGACCATTCTTTGTGATCACTGATGAAGACTACTGTTAGCTGCAGTGTAGCTCCACTATATCTGGAAGTACATTACCGAATCAAAGGAAATTTTAAAAAATCTCAAAACTTTGAAAAGAAGAAAATAGTTCAATTAGGAAGAGCTTTTTTGACAGCATAGCTGTAGTGAACAGAGAGGCAGCTACTAGCTTAGTGCATGCCTGAAACTTTGCATGAAAAGGGGGTTAAAATTCCACCTTTGGTATCTCCAGATTGGTCTGGAAACTTTTCTATCAGAAATGCTGAAGAGCTACTGCCTGCCAGGGTAGTCCAGTGGCCAACCCAATATGGATCCATTTCCTATGCCTTTCCCATGTATAAATCAGCTTCTTTATTTTTATACCATGGAATCTCTTGCAGCCCTGCGGCTTTATTTAGCATCTCTACAATATTTTTAGTGTTCAGAAACACTATCATGCTGATCTTGTTTGACCTTACCCAAACTGTTTTTCATTAGGGACTGAAAGGCAGAGAGATTCAAGGTCAGCTCCTCATATGGAATATCCATTTCCAACAGTCTAAGGTTCATATGATTAAATATTGAAATTAAGTTAAACAAACCTGCAAGAATAACGCCATTGGGATGAGGGTGGGGTGGAAGATCAAAATTGCCACTTGCCACTAGAACTCGCTTCTTCTAAAGATGGATTTGATTTCTAAAAATCAAAAATAAAGTACGAATTAGTTTATTTTCAAGGAACGCCCAGGACAATGCAGAGCTGGGAATTTTAACAATGCATTCTGAGATCAAAGCAGTCACTTGTGTCTGCAACACAGGAAGTCCTCGACTTACAACCATTTGTTTAATGATTGTTCAAAGTTACAAGAGCACTGAAAAAAACTGGTCCTCGCATTTAAGAACTGTTACAGCATCCCCATAGTCACATGATCAGAATTCTGGTGCTTGGTAATTGGCAATTGATATTTATGATGCTTGCAACATCTTGGGGTCACACAGGGTCACTGTTCACATGGTCACGAGTCAATGGGGGATGCCTGATTTGCTTAACGACTATCCAATTCACTTAACAACTGCAGTGATTAACTTAACAATCACAGTAGAAAAGGCCATCAAATAGGGTGTAACTCACTTAATAACTGTCTCGTTTAACAATAAAAATTCTGACTATTTATTCAATAATCAGATTTACATAGCTGCCCATCTCACCAAAAACAACTCCTTTTTCCACTGATCATGTGAGTATTGAGAAGAAAACTGGAAACAAAGCCAGTGTGGGGCACATTGAACCTCAGCATATTAACCTGTTTGAACAAGCCATGAAAGTAATATGTATTCATGCAATCCACGTGAACGATACACCTGCAAAATTGCATTATCCACACAATTTGGTGCGGAAAATCTAAAAAAGTTGCCAAGATTGCGGATCAGAAAAACAAGCTCCTAATGTTGTTTGTAAAAGCTGTTTCTAGGTGATTAAAACCTAGGTTCCTAAATAAATTATTTAATATCATTGTAGCAAAATAAGATAAAAAAATCTCAAACTGAAGCACAGAGACTCTGGATTAAAAATAAATAAATCTAAGTAGCAGAGAGTCATTCTGGATGAAAAGATAACATATAATTTGGAGCTTCCGTATGTGCTGGCTTCCTTTGTCTTTCTGGAAGAGGCAGCCCCAGGAATAGAGATTGCAGCTCTCTTGTCACAGCCAAGACATTGCAGATAAATCCAAGAGCTTGTAGCAATCAGCCTTGCTACTCTGTTTAGGAGACAAGCACTAGGTAAAAACCCTACATTGGATACCTACATCTTAACTTAAGGGCACTCTAACCCTGAGACTCTCCAGCTGCAGCTCAGCTGTAATGTGAGATGAGAAAAATTATAAAATAGATCAGACATCATCTTATTACAATACAGAAACCCTCAAGTTCAATTCCTGGTGACTACATGTGGATGTGTTTCTTGGCAGGACTATGGAAAAGTTTTGCTGTTGCCTTCTACCAGTGTATTTTCCCCTCTCAATCTAACCCACAGTGCCCAGATTCCTTAATAGTCTCTTATCCAGATTTTACCAGATCTGCTCCTGATGCCACCACTCATAGGACTTCACTCTATTCACTGAATTGAATTAATCTGACTCAATTGTAATTAGATTTTCATTTACAA